TGGAAAGCTAGAGACCACAACAGAAACACACTAAAACCATAGTGTTTTAATGAAGCAAATAACCCAAAAACTTTTCATTATAAACTCAAAAAATTAAAAGAATGCTTATTTTTACTCCTCCAAAAATTCTCATCCCCCTAAAATGCTCTCAACCGAAAATCCCAACAAAAACCATGTTCTTCTCCTTTTTTCTTGATGTTCATCCTTAAAACCAAAAAACCAAACTTTGATCCAAAAGCAATACCAAAAATACCCAAAATTGGTTTTTAAATGATAAAACACCCATATTTCCTAGGAAATATCAAATATTCATCTTCCAAAACCAAGTTTGAATTTCCAACAACACCTAAAAAGCAAAAAAAGTTGTTTTTTAAAGATCAAAACCAAACATTTTACATTAAATCTCAAGAACACCAAAAAATCAAAACCCAACTCCTCCTAACTTCTAGCCTAATATCATCATCCAAATACCTAAAGCACCAACACCCAACACCCAACGACCGAACCACCTCCTCACCGTCAGATGCGACGCTAACTGCCCATCGGCCCCCAAATTGCTTTCTGAAACTTACCCAAACCAAGACATATTTGAACCAAAAATAAAGAAAAAAGACTCACCCAAAAGTGTGCTTCCCTCCGACGATGGTAAGCTTTCCTTCCTTACTTGCTTTTGAACTTTTGGTGAATATCTCCTTGTTATGGATGGATTACTTGTGATTAATGCCAGTGACAAACTCTTTATTTATGTTGATGATTTTTTGTCCCCTAATCCAATTATTCCCGCTAAAAATCGATTAGAACAAGCTTGGATTTGGGAAGGTTTCCTGCTTTTTATTTTTCTAATTTTTTCTAATTTTTTGTATACTCCAAAATGGTCAAAATGATGGTGGAATGGCAGCGACGTGGCGTCGACTGGTGGCAGCTCATCGAGGAAGACGACCAGACCGGTGCTCGAGACTAACGCGTCGGCAATGTGTCAACGAGCTCTCCCCAGTCGGCGGTGATGTTGGTGATGCCTTGATCCTTTTGAGAATATAACATTTTGTCCATTGTATTTATTTTTTATCTAATGGCTTAGATGGCTTTGTGTTTCTTAGCCATGGATTGATGGCATGGCTTTGTGTGAGCCATTGGATCAATCCTTCCATCCAAGGGTCCTCATCAATTTGTGTTTGTTTCACTTGGATTGAAGCCTTCGTAGCCATTGGATCAAGGCTTGAGATTTGTTTGTTCTTTTAGCCATGGATTGATGACATCACCACCTAAAAAGACACACCCACTTAATACTTAGTTGGCGACTTTGGGTGATCAAGTCTTCTTAACATTTACTCCCCTATCTCTTATCTTTCCAACTCACTTTGAATCATATCAATCCAATATTGGGAGCTCAATATATGCCCAGATTAATTAAGACAGTGCAGGCTGGAAATATGTACGGGATTTACATCCAAATGAAGAGCCATGTTCACACTTGATGTATTTCCACCTTCATGAATCTATTTATGGCATGTACAATCATACAATGAGGCTAAAGGACTTGTTCACATTCAAGGGAGATGGATGCATTATTTTCAAACTCATTCACCAAATCCAAGTGCATGAAGGGAGCCTATGAGTCACGTTCCCACTTGGTGCATGCATTCCAAAGGGGGGCGAACATACAATGAAACATTCCTCCAAATTCATGCAAGGAAGTGAACCAACATTTTCACATCAAGAGAGGATGAATTCAGCTATGAAGATGTATTCACTTAAATGGATGGACATTCATTTATTTTATTAGTCCATGAACTTGCATAGGGGACGTACTTTGTATCTACTTAAGGATGACCATTCATCCATGAATGTTCAATCATTAAATCTTGTATGTGCATCCTAGACATCTCTTAGGCCTATAAATAGCTTTCCATTTCATTTGTAAGAACCAATTCACTTTGTTTAATCAAATATTTGTGAGAGTTCCTTTAAACATATCACCAACTTATATATATTTCCCGCTGCCATATTTATCTTTCCATTTCATTACTTCCATTTAACTATTTTTTAGCTTTCTTGTTTGTGCAAGATCCTTGTTGCTTTCCTAGATCGAAACAATCAAAGGTACAACCTTAACTTCACCATCCATCCAAGTGAGGCTAGGTTGAACTGTATCAGAATGCCTATTGTATGATAACAAATTTTGAGCTCATAAGGTTGTACATTTATCAGGAAACATATGTTGCCCAAGTTGGACATTGTTGGATTAAAATCCATAATTATGGGCACATATTTATAATGTATATTGTTATCGTAAAAATATGACATAAATTAAGTGATCAATTATGTTATAAAGTCATAAGGTATTAGAAGTGTCATGGAAATAAAATTGTAGATACTATTAAAGTTGTATTTATAATTCGATGAGTGGTAGAGTTATAAGTACAAACAATAAATGATTCTTAAATAAGTTATATAAAGGGGGTTATGGTCCTCAAGAAATAGACAATCCCGTATTTACTCTTATCTCGTCAGAGAGTTTATACTTAAGGGAACCTTATCTTCTTGGAAGATCACAATCAAAGAAAGATTCAAGGATTTCAACCTATCAATTAATTTAGACACGCTTCCACATCTTGTGTTTATTTTGTTCTTGATGATTTGGTATTATTAGATCCTCATTAATTTCATATTTATTATGATTTAGTTCTAACATCATAATTCTCCCATGATTCACACAATATAAGCATATGTGAAAGTTTGTGCCTCTTCTTCAAAGCAATCTTCATCCAACTCGTTAAAGTTTCGTTAGATTTATGACAATGAGATTCAATCACCATTGTTCTCATCCGTCAAAGCAACTCAATCACCAACATTTATATCAGTCACAACATGTCCATCGATTGAGTGTCTTAGCTGAAGGAAAATATCATCTAAAGTGATTGTGCACTCCCACACAAAAGATGAAAGACGTGTATATCTCATCTGCTCCTCTTAATAAATGCAAAAATAAATGTGAGTTCTAATTCACAACCTCCAAACACCAAGACAAGTATGCAAAATTTACTTGACTTAAGTACCTATAATACGATCAGATAAAGATTTTTTTTCACATTGTGAATAAATACTTTGACAATTATGTTCCTCATCATGTTAATTTAAAATAAATATATTATAAAAATATAATAATAATAATAATAATAATTAAATAACAACTAACAAAATTTTATTAACAAAGAAAAAAATACAATTCCCTTACCATACGTGGTTAATGGGTTGTAAAATATTTTGTATCTAATCTAAACATTTTCATTTTTAACTACAACATATTAAAAAATAATTATAAAATTACCATCATTATTTTTAAAATAAAATTATATTTTTATACAAAACATATATTAACTACACAAAAACTTCTAATAACTATTTAGAATTATTTAATATTTAAAATATTATACACATATAATATTAATCAACTAAAATAATTAATATTAAATAAAAATTATCGACACTTATCAAAAATTCGATTCGTACCATATTTTTTTTGGTCGTATAGAATAAAAATTACATATATTTTTCTCTTTGGTGTGTTTATATGGGATGGCGAGGGGGTTTTATAAGGGGAGAGATGGTGGTTGACAGACGGGAAAAGATTAGCGAGAAGACGTTTTTGATCTCTCGCATTTTGAACATGCAATTTAACTTTTAGAAAGATGCTTTTGATCAGAAGCTTCTTACATTCAATTTATTGGTTAGACAATTGTGTAACGTAAAGGCGTTTCTTATAAAACACATCTTACAAAGACGTTTTGAAAAGAAGTATTTTTTGTTATGTGAGATTAGAAAAAATTTTAATCCTAATAATTAATAAAAAAATATTAAATACAAAATTGAAATTTTTAAATAAACGGTATTCAGATAAAAACGCTAAAAATATGCAAGTGTAATAAAATGAATAATATCATATAAGTATCTAAATTAATAAGAAGAAGAATAAAAAACAAAGTGACAAAACAATACTCAACAAATGCAAGAAAATAAATATGTTCCACAAGTTGAAGAAAAGGCAACATAGTTGGAATTAGTGAATCAAATAAAGAACAAGGTGTGGCAGTTTCATAACCATTCGCTACTACGCATGAAAAACAACTTCAAACAACAATTATTGGAGACACAGATTTTCTCCTAACCTTTATCATATCTATATCGTTTTTTATGTAAAATTATTTCAAATATATTTTTAAATATTTTATAAAAATATTATACAAAGTACGAAATGATAATTTTTGTTATAATATTAATAATTATTCAAAAATACATTTTATTTATTAAAATGATAAAATTGATCATATTAAATCAAAATAAAAATGACATTTTTTTTAACTATTTAACGCTACAATAATTTTTAAGACTTAAATTGAATATCATAATTTTTTAATAGTTTGGGATAATTATAATATAATATTTGTTTAAAATATTTTTTTAATTATTAACAACACACGCATATCCTCTGCAAACACAATAATTAGAATCCAACACCTCAAGGAAAAACAACACTTCCCTTAAATGATCTGAGATAATTATAAGGTAATATATATTTAAAATTATTCTTAATCATAACAATACATACATGCTACATACACAACAGCTCAATCTCATAACCTTAATAAAAAAACAACACACCCTTCAATCAAATTTTTTAGCAAAAGAAATACTATGAACTACGTTAGTCTACATTTCTCCTTCTGGACTATACACCCTCATCGTTGAACCTTTTTAATGAGTTGAATTGAATATCATAATTAAATTAAGATAACCGTATCTTTATTTACTTAAGTATTTGGTGCCGATGGTATATATTTTATTATTTTCCTCAAATAAATTAATAATGGATTAATTCATAACATTAATTGTATAAGAAATTATGTAAACAAACATTATATAAATATAAATTTAAAAAACAAAAATGAGTTGGATAAACTCTTGATGTAAATATAAATAAAACAAAAAACAAAAAGGAGGGTGGTAGGTACATGGTGTCTGGTGTGGAATTGAAGGTGAGATGGTCATATTTCTGCCTTTAAGTTCCCTCACCCTCCTCCTCTCCCCCATATGCTCTACCTACTACCCATCTCCCTTTCTCTTCCCTTATATTCCCCCCTTTCACCATCTTCCTTTCACTCTATCCCCATAGTTCACCATGATCTCCGTCGCCGATCACCCCGTCGAACTCGATACCCCAAAGCTCGACCAACAGCTCTCCCTTCCTGAACCCACCTCCCATCACATTTTCCGATCCAAACTCCCCGATATTCCCATCTCAAACCACGTCCCTCTCCACACCTATTGCTTCCAAAACCTCTCTTCTTTCTCCGACAAACAATGCTTGATATCTGGATCGTCCGGAAAAGTCTATTCCTTCCACGAGACTCACTTGCTTGCACAGAAGACGGCCGCTGGTTTATACAGTTTGGGCGTTCAAAAGGGAGATGTCATCATGATTCTCCTCCAAAACTGCGCTGAATTCGTCTTTGCTTTCATGGGAGCTTCCATGATCGGAGCTGTTTCCACCACGGCTAACCCTTTTTACACGCCCAATGAAATCTTGAAGCAGTTCAAAGCTTCCCGAGCTAAACTCGTCGTGACCCAGTCCCAATACGTCGACAAGCTTAACGATGACAGCTTCCCCAAAATAGGCGAGGATTTCAAGGTGATCACCATCGATGACCCTTCAGAAAACTGTTTGGATTTCAGTGTGTTATCGGAAGCGAATGAGAATGAGATCCCTCAAGTTTCGATTCACCCCGATGATCCCGTAGCTTTACCCTTCTCTTCGGGAACGACGGGGCTACCCAAAGGAGTCGTTTTAACTCACAAAAGCTTGATCACGAGCGTCGCTCAACAAGTAGATGGAGAGAACCCGAATCTTTATCTGAAACAAGGCGACGTTGTGCTGTGCGTTTTGCCTCTGTTCCACATTTACTCGCTCAACAGCGTGCTCTTGTGCTCCCTCAGGGCCGGAGCTGCGGTTCTGTTTATGCACAAGTTTGAGATAGGGGCGTTGTTGGAGCTGATACAGAGGCATAAAGTGTCGGTAGCGGCGGTGGTTCCGCCGTTAGTTTTGGCGTTGGCTAAGAATCCGGTGGTGGCGCAGTTTGATTTGAGCTCGATCAGGGTAGTGCTTTCCGGGGCGGCTCCGCTCGGAAAAGAGCTGGAAGAGGCTCTCAGGGGAAGGGTTCCTCAGGCAGTTTTGGGACAGGTCAGTTTTTTATTTTATTTAATTTTTCATTAATGCATTTATTAACTGAAAGTTCATGCAAAACGAGTCTTCGATTTTTTGTTTGAAATTAAGAAGGATTATCCAATCTTCTTTCCGTTCTTTTATTCCTCGTTAACTACTAAAAGTATTTAAAAAAAATTCAAATAAACTATAGATTTAATACATCAACTATGATCTTTGTTATGTTTTTGATATTTTAACTATATTTTTAAAATCATATCTATTGTATATTTTAATTTTATTTTAATCAATCATCGTTAAAAAATTAATAGTTATGCAAATATCTTATCATAAGATGATATCATATCATCATTAAATTTTGTTTTTAAAAATATAACACTAGTAATTTTGTTAATTTTTTAACGATAATAATTAAAATATAATTAAAACATAATGTTAGACATGATTTAAAAAAATAATTAGATAATTAAAATAAAATACCAAAATTAAAATACTAAAAAGTATAGTTTGCTCTTGATTTTTTTATAAGTTTCTATTTTATAATATTGATTATGAAGTTTCAAATGCAAATTTAATAAAGGTAAAAGTAGGTAAACTTTCTACATTAAATAAAAAAGTAAGATTATGCTAATATTTTTTAAAAGAAAATTACAAGATGGAACACGATTTTTTTATATTTCCCAAATTGATTTTATATTTAATAAAAGAGAGGCACTAATAATAGACCTTTTCTAAGAAATGATCATCTCATAATTAGGAGGTCTCCAATGGAAGCTGCTCTCAACCTGGTGTTGGGGGTACCCTACTATCCTACCTCCTCTTACCCCATTATATATGAGAATTATAATGGGAATGAGAGTCAGTTAATTTTTTTTTAATAATAGACCTTTTCTATTTTAAATATATAATTTTTGGGGGAATTAAATTGGGGCTCTAAAAATAAATTTGAAGAGAGTTTTACTTTAAGAAAATAAAGTAGTATTGTAATTTGAACAGCGTGATCTGTGCTAGGGCCTACATAAATATTGTGAATATTTATGGCTTAGATCCATGTGGTTCTGGAAAAATAAATATAGTATGAAAAAATTATATTATTTCTTAATTTTATATATTCTAAATTTGTAATGTATCAATATGAAACACAGTAAAACGTAACGTGGAAAATTTCTTGATGGTCGGTCTTACTAGAAAGTGTGGCCCAACTAATTTCAACTAAATAAGCCTAAATCATGATGCCATATTCTTAACCATATATTGATCTACCTTTTCCCTTATCATAAACTCGCTAAGCTAATTAAATATATATTAAAACATTTATCAAGTAATCCAGTAGTAAGAAAAAATATTATTTTTCTTTAAGGTTACTAATTTAAACAATTACTTCATAGGATATGTTTGCGATATTAATGGTTAAAGAAATTATAAGTAAATATTAAAATATCATTCTATTAAAATCCCTTAATCATTAAGATCATTTGGTTGCGAGACATTCACATTCACATTCACATTCACCGAATTATGGGGATTTTTTAAGTGGATTTTAAGTAGCTTAAATTGCAACAAAATATAGGGATATGGAATGACAGAGGCTGGACCAGTGCTGTCAATGTGCCTAGGGTTTGCTAAACAACCCTTTCCAACCAAGTCAGGGTCATGTGGAACGGTGGTTAGGAATGCGGAGCTGAAGGTGATTGACCCTGAAACAGGGTGCTCCCTGGGGTACAATCAGCCGGGGGAGATTTGCATTCGAGGACCCCAAATCATGAAATGTTATTTGAATGACAGCGTGGCCACTGCAGCCACCATTGATGTCGAGGGTTGGCTTCACACGGGTGATATAGGTTATGTGGACGATGATGATGAGATCTTCATCGTTGATAGAGTCAAGGAAATCATCAAATTCAAGGGCTTTCAGGTACCTCTATTTCTCCTTTTCCATCATTTTTGTGTTCAAGTGAGGACGTTAAACGAGTCGAGTCGAATCGAGTTTGAGTATTTTTAAATTTGATTCAATTCGTAAGTTCGAGAGTCTAAAATTATCAAGCTTGACTCGAATCAAAATAAAAAAATTGAAGCTCGACCCGACTTGTAAGTTCGAGAGTTTAAAATTGTCAAGCTCGACTCGAATCAAAAATTAAAAAATTGAAGCTCGACTTGTAAGTTCGAGAGCTTAAAATTGTCTAGCCTCGACTAGAATTAAAAAAAAAATTGAAGCTTGATTCAACTCGAAAGCTCACAAGATTAAATTCGAAAAAACTTGAACTCTAAATATTCTAAAACTTAGTTTGATTGACACTCAAACTTCGAGCTGCTCGCTCGCTTCGACTTGTTAAGAACTCTAGTGGACTCGAGTTCATTCGATTTAAATGTTGATCGAGCTTTAACCTAGTCAAATTCGAATAACCCGCGATATATCTCGTCTAATTTACAACCCTAGTTAAAGCAGCAACCTTTAAATATATTTAGTTGGATTTTGATTTAGGTGCCACCAGCTGAGCTTGAGTCCCTCCTTGTAAGCCATCCTTGCATTGCAGATGCAGCTGTAGTTCCGTATGTACTCTTTCACTGTTCTTCAAGTATTCATCTTCAATATCAGTGTCTATTACAGGTTTGAATAATTGAATATCCGTATCTAATGACTTTTAACAGGCAAAAAGATGAAGTTGCTGGTGAAGTTCCTGTTGCATTTGTGGTTCGGTGCAACGGCTTTGAGCTCACCGAAGATGCTGTCAAAGAATTCATTGCTAAACAGGTTTGTGTGTATATCTATGAAGAAATCAAAACTAACTGGCCTTCATTTAATGAGAATATAATCCTTTTTGTTGTCAAAAGCAGGTGGTTTTTTACAAGAGATTGCATAAGGTGCACTTTGTTCATGCAATCCCCAAGTCTCCTTCAGGGAAGATTTTGAGAAAAGATCTGAGAGCCAAGTTGGCTATTGCTGCTACCCAAATACCATGAAAATTGTGTTGGTTTTGTTTTTTCTTAGGCTTAATGTGTCAAGATAGTTGTTGGAAAGCAAAAGTTCAGTATGCAATTAATTCTCTGTTATATTAAGTTTGTTCTCAAATGAAGTTGTCATGATTGTAAGCTGTAACCAATTTGTTCCGAGGTGGTGCTGTAATAAGAGGGGAATTAGAGCCAGTGATGTCGCTTCAAGTTTGGCTCAACGTGTATGTCCTCGCCATTGGTTTAGATGGGCATTAATTCTGTGTTCCAACTTGTATTGTTCTCTCTTATATTGGGGAAAAAGCCATTCTTTGAATTGCTACCATTTTATTGTTTTCTATATTAATTATTAGTGTAAACCATGTATTTAGTCATTTATCTATTTCTCAAAATTATATATAATGTTATATTTTTGTTTCTCCTTGATCACTTATTAAAAAATAAACAAAATTATTGATGTGATAATTTTTAATTTTTCAATAATGATGTGACATTACTTAATGATGACACATCAACTTCATTGTAAATTCTTTAACGACAAGTGACCAAAACAGAATTAAAATATAAAATTAGTTATGATTTGAAGAAAAAATAATTGAATGATCAAAATGGAACCACAAATATAGTTGAATGATGAATATATGATTTTCCCTAATTATTAAAATCATTTGTATAAAGAATTAAGGGTAAACTAAAGAAATGATCATTTTCGTTTCAGTTTTATAAACTTTTCCTCAGTGAATTAAAAAAACATAAGTTTGGTCAATTTCGTTTCATTTTAATTAAGATGTGGTCACTGAAGGTTAACAACCCTTAGACCTTTAACGGTTTGCTGACGTAGCACGATAATATATAAAATTAAAATTGTATCATTTTCACGTAGATAATACGTGAATTAAGTTTCAATCACTTTCCTTTCATATTTGTACACTTTTGCTCACTAAATTTAAAAGAAAGACATATTTTTTGGTTAGTTGTGTTATCGTTTTATTAAGTTTTAGTCACTTACATTATCATTTTATTAAATTTTGGTCACTTATGTTATCATTTTATTAAATTTTGATCACTTGGACGTTGAATGTCATTAGTTTGATGACGTGCCTCGTTAGTAAAATGGTTTAATTTTATTTTAACCCCTACACTCTAGACAAAATATTAATTATGGGTATTTTTGTAAATTCAAATTAGTTTAGGGAAAACATTTCAATTTATCCATTTTTAGTAAATTTTCTTACTAACCCCATTGTTATTCATCTTCTTCCTGCTTCTTCTTTAGATATCTCTACTCCATTTATCCATTTGCCTTCTTTCAGGGACTCATGTTGTATTTCAAGAATAATAAAATATTTTGAACTTCCGATAACAAATAATAACACCATAAATTAAGATAAAACTTAGATGGTATGCATCTAGGGATAAAATGAAGCTGAGTAATCTCAATTATACAAACTAAAATTCAATTTCTAAAGATTGATATTGTATATTGTCAAATCCAACAAGGAACAAGAAGACAAATCAATGGATCCAAATAACCTAATAATCGAATATTACTCTTCTTGATGATTTTCTCTTGAGAAACCGCATCTGGTAAAACTATCAATGGATCCAAACAACCTGATAGTTGAATTTGTGAGTTCATCCACTAAACCCAATCTAAAATTCGTGATCTTCAACACCAAATCTTTGTTTTTTCTTAAGAACAAACAATTTTTCAATTCTAGATCCCTATGAATCACTGTTAACCCCTACTAATTGTTCAATATATCACACCAGTGCCACTGCACCAACCTCCGAGTACTTAATTTTTTTGATGACCTGATTGAACAACTCACCGCAGGAGCAGAGCTCCAATACTAAGTGAACGCCAGTTTGATCTTTGCAAACATTGTAGAGGTTGATCATGTTTATATACGACAAATGTTCTTGACGATCTTTTGCATCATGGAGATTTCGTTGGTCAACAATGTGCCAGAGATATAAACCTGGCACTGTGTCATCAATAACGACACATTTGAATAAGCTCTAGTTTTCTCGGCTCGAGGTAGTGACGTCTCTATGATGGTGAATCTTTTCATAGTTTTAATGACGAATTATCTGGGGAGTTATGCTGTGAGGCACCTAAAATAAGGCTAATAAACAGCGTGACTGGTAAAAAAGGTGACAGATTAAAAGCACGACTGACAATATTATAGCTTGGAACTGAAACACTTATCAGACAGAGTATCATAACATGTTTAAGTATAATGTTATACAAGGTAACAAATTAAGTTATAAACGATAAATGGTTTGAATACAATTAACATAATAGGTTGCGCCGAAAATTTTATCAGTTATAAATGATGGAGGCTTTTAATTTCCTACGATAAGAAAATAAAAAAACTGAAAATGTTACAAACATATATAACAAAAACGATTGCGCCCAATAATGTCTTATTTCAGTCAAAAAGGAGGATGTAATATGGAATCTTAATATTTTGAATAATAAAATGGGTTACGCCTAAAATGTTATCATAGTTTAAGCTGGTGGAGACTTTTAATTTCTCGTGATAAGAAAATAAGTTAAAAGCTTAAAATGTTATGAACATGTATAATAAATACAGTTACACCTAGTAATATCATAATTCAATAAGAAATAGGTTGTGATTTCTAATGTTAATATTTTTATTAATAAAATAGGTTGAGCTTAAGAACGTCATGGTTCACTAAGAAAGCATGTTGCAATCAGGAATCTTACTATTTTTTTAATAATAAATGGGTTGATATTATCAAAGTTTAAGTTAATGAAACCTTAGAATTTCCCACAATAAGAAAATAAGTTAAAAGATTAAAAATGTTATGAATATGTATAATAAATACGGTTGCGCCCAATAATATAATATTTCAATAAGAAATAGGTTGCAATTTGTATAGTTAATATTTTTTAATAAAATAGATTCCGCCCAAAAATGTTATGGTTCACTAAGAAAACATGTTGCAATCTGTAATATTACTATTTTTAATAATAAAATGGGTTGTGTCTAAAAATATTATCAAAGTCGATAAGAAAATAAGTTAAAAGCTTAAAATGTTATAATAACTATGGCTACACCGAATAGTGTCATGATTCACTAAGAAATAAGTTGTGATATGTGATGTTAATATTTTTATTAATAAAATAGGTTGCACCTAAGAATGTCATAGTTCCAAAGAAAGCAGGTTGCAATCACAAATCTTAATATTTTTATAATAAAATGGATTGCACCTAAAATATCATCAGACATTAAGTTGATTGAGCATTGGATTTTCTCACGATAAGAAAATAAGTTAAAACCTGAAAATGTTATGAATACATATAATAAATATGGTAGCACCCAATAATATCACGGTTCACTAAGAAATAGGTAGCGATATGTAATGTTAATAATTTAAATAATAAAATAGGTTACTCCCAATAATGTTATGGTTCACTAAGAAAATTGGTTCCGGTATGCAATGTAATGTTCATATTTTTTGTAAAATAGGTTGCTCCCAAGAATGTCAAGGTTTTGAATAGAAATTTCAGTTGTGATATGTTATGTTAATATTTTGATTAAAAAAATAGGTTTTGCCCAAAAGAAATAAAAAATTTTGAAACTTAAAATATTAATATTGAGTATATTATTATCGATACCTTTAAATATTGAAAAAGTTGAAGATAATGTTTTACATATTTTCCCTATAAATTAAACCCTAATCACTACATCTAAATTCGTTAATTAAAAAAATGCAAACTATGATTTCACTCACATACCTCTCTGTTCTTCAAATTGCGATTACAGTTCTGTTCTTCAGTATTAATATCTATTGCTCAAACGGAAAATGGATTCTAAAGACGAAATTTGGTGAAAAAGTTCAATACTTTAAATGCCATTCTCGTTTTCCTTTTTCTAAAAATTCGAAAATATCAATATTTGAGGAAAAAGTATCGATATAATCGAATTACAAAAAAATAAATTTTATCTAAAAACTGGAAAAGTTATACGTTAATATAATAACATTGGTTGAAAATTTAAATGTTACCCTTCTGACGTTCACAAAATAAGTTAAAAACCATTAATATTATTAATATAATAAATATTTTAGGTTTCCTTAAAATGTTACCAGATTTTAATCTGACGTGGCCTTATTCATTCACATTACAATAAAATATGTTGGCTACTATCTAAAGAGTAGGTTGAGAGGATTTTCTTGAGACAAGTCTCGATATTTACCGACAACATAAGTTACCTGGTTAAGCCATTTTTATTATATTCAACTACTTCCAACCTAATATATTATACTTAATTCAAAATTACCAATAGCGCTAAACCTATTTTATTAAGTCACTTTTCAAATTTTCGATTGCACCATTTTTAGCCTTATATTACTATGTCGTTCCTTAGAATCCTCCTGAATTATCTACATTTTTCACAATCTTCTTTACTTCTTTTTATGCCTTCTCTTATAACTGAGAATCCACCTAATTTAACTTCAAATAATTACAATTAATAATTATAAATAAGAAGGCTATTTGATAGGGAAGCGGTGGCGGGTTAATAAACGTTGCTCTTGTTGAAGAATCAAACCTAAAAAAGATCTAAGACTCGATAAAGAATAATAAGGGATGAATGGGGAAGGTGACGATAATAGATAGGGTTTTTTAGGGTTTCTTTTTGGTGCTGGAAACAAGATAAGAAATAAGATTAAAACAAGATAAAGAAAAGATAAAGGAATTGCAAATAAAATAAGATAACCAAGAAATCAAAAGATCTCCCTTATGAAGGTGAACGGTAAAGATGATTGATGACGTGGATGGATATGTGGAAAATCGATGGATAATGTCCTATCGAGCCCTCCTAGTCGCAATGAAAAGGAAAACACGCTAATATGGCTCTAACCAACCCTCCTAGTCGTGATGAAAAGGCAAATTGGAGTGTGAAGATTAATCTCCCTCACAAGAACTTGAAAGAACTCAAGGAGAAGAAGCTTCGAAGGCACAAGGTAATCAGCACTTGCAAAAACGAACCCTCGTTGTATTATTAATCAAAGAAATCTTCCATTACAAAGTTTAATGAAGCCTTATTTATATAGGGGCTGAGTTCTAAAGGTCCTAAATAACTAATGAAAAAAATAATAATAAACTAAACATATCTTAACTCTAATTCCTAATAAAATAATAATAACTAAAAATAATATTTTTAACCCAACCTTAATTCCTAATAAAATAATAAATCTAATCCTAAAAGATAATGCATCATCCTATATTAAGTTATATTACAAATAATCAATAAAAATATTGAAAATTCGTAATATTTACAAAATCCCGTA